GAGCCGTAAAAAAGTGGCAGCCATGTTCATGCAAATGAAGCAGGAGAGATTTAAATCCCCACTTCATTTGCAATTGCGAGGTGTCTAATCTGCATCCCTTTTCCGCAAAAGGGGTGCAGTCTAGACACAGCCATTAGGTATTAAAGGGGTATTTAATGGCGCAGAGAAAGGCAGAGCAAGACCCCGTGTCTGAAAGGTGAAACTAGACAAATTCATCTTAGAAATAAGGCACAAATATTTCACAGTGAGGATGATTCACCATTGGAACAAACCATTAAAGCAAATGATTGATTCTTCATTTCTTGATGTCTTGTAGTGAAGACTAGATACCTTTCTAGTGGGTGCCTGAATCAAAACTTAGCTGCTGTTAGATACAGGATGGTTGGGATATGCAAGGGTCAGATTTGATGCTCTAATGGTCCTGGCTGGCCTTAAGGTCCACTAATTAATTACAAACTCAGTGCGGCCTAAGGAGCAGCCTTTGGGGTTTACTGTCCAGCCAGTTTGGTCCCCAGACTCAGCTGTCATTAAGTGAAATGATCCAGGGGAACCAACATAAACATCCAAAGAGGCTGACCAGGGTCAGGACATCAGCCTTGCAGGGGTGGGATGGGGGTGGCAGCAGGGGCAGATGACCATTTCGTGGGGCCTTTACCACAGCGCATGCGCGGGGCTTCTTGAAGCGCAGGGCCCGGGGCGGTCGCCCCGCTCACCCTGCCCTATATCCGCCCCGGGTGGCAGTGACATCACAAAGGCCTGTTGCAGGACCTCAGCCTATTGGGGGAAAGTGGTGGGTCGGTGGTGACCTCACAGAGAGGCCCTGACATCAGCCAATCAGGACAGAGGCACAAGGCGGGGGCAACTTCAGAGATTCCTGTGGCTTTGCAGGAGCAAGGCTCCTTCTCAAGGTCTCTCCCTGAGGACTGATAAAGAATTAAGATTAATCTACAAAAGCATAAAGAGGAACCTCGTTGGAGTTTTCTCCTTCCCTACCACCCATTCCGTGTAACCTCTTCAGAAGGCAAGAGCTTCAGAGAGGTGAGGAGCCTGTTCCGTCTCATCCACCTGGTACCACCTGAATTCTACGCATAGAAATCACTAAGTTAAGGTCAATTGGGACTCTATGGCTGGGGGTCACTCTTGCTCTCTTTAGCTGGGTCTCTCTTTACATCTCTGTCTGGGAGCACTGTATTCTTATCAGTCAATGTGTCCCGAGGGGCGGGCTGGGGGCGGGACCTCAGCCTTGCAGGAGTGGCAGTGACATCACAAAGGTCTGTTGCAAGATCTCAGCCTATAGGTGACAGGGAGGTGGTGACCTCACAAAGAGCCCCTGACATCAGCCAGGCAGGACAGAGGGGTAAGGTTGGGACAAACTAGAGACCCTTATCGCTGTGGGAGGCCATCCAGAGAAGTGGGACTCAGATTGCTCTGAGACTGATCCCCTCTGGTGATGACCCCAGCTATCCTTTAGGACATCTGGTGAGACCTCTCAGCCTCCTACCTCCTAGTCTCGAGGCTGATTAGCCCCCTGTTCAGCCAATGACAGGGAGGAGACGTTTTCCCAATTTCCCAGCTGTGACCCATGGCTGTCCCTTCCTTTGCAGGCTCTGCACAAGGGCTTGTCTGACCTCAGGCAGGCCATGCTGGGGAACCTGCTTGCAGAGCCCCCAGACCTAGACAGCGCCAATACATCTTGGAGGTGAGCATGGTCAGGAGGGACAGGGGGCAGTTTTACCTTAGTGCTGGACTGGAAAGGAGAGACTGGAAAACCATTTTCCAGTGTCCTCCTAGCCTGCACCCCAGTGGGCCATCCTGGG